ATCTGTGTTTGGGAGGGAGAGGAGCTTCAAACCTAAAGGTTGGGGTCCTCCAACCTTTTTAGCTAGCAGGTTGCACCTATCAGGATGGAGAGCTGCCTCTTGCAGTTAAGTGTGTTTGCAGTCTTTCTCGGTTTGTTTTGTGAGACTGAAGTGCAAATGGAGACTTGTGCTGACTTTCAGCCATTCATTACTAACTCACAATTGTTCCACCTCCGTGTCATCCTTACCTGTTTGCATACCCAGAGTTGGCAGCCTGACTCACCATCCTGAGTGGGTGAAGCAGGTTCCTGAGAAAAGCAGCTGTATTCACAGTTCAGGAGGAACTCATTCTGATAAAGTGTTTTTCCTCTGCAATGAATGCTATATGGGTTTTTCTTTTCCTTCCTTCTAAACATCTTTTAGCATCTTAGAAACAAGCAGCTGAACTGAGCAGTTGCATTCAAATTCCTATCAGTCAAGAGTTTTGTCACTGGAAAACACAATAACCCCAAGAGGGGGGTGAGAGAAGTGTGGGTTGTGGGGTTAAACAGACCTGTGACATGTGTTAACCCAGGGCAGAGGCATGTTGTGAGCTTCTGTAAGAGCTTGTGGCATCATCCTGCTATGGAACCTGTGTTGATCAAGCAGGGTGTAAGAACATATAAATGCTTATCCATCATAAGCTATAAACTTTATCAAAGAAAAACAAGTGCTGTTAGGTGTCACTTTCTAGCAGCAACATGGCCAGAAGGTGAGAGAAGCAAATAAGGGGTTTGTGACTTGCCCTACCCTCCTTTTCTAACCTCATCTCTGGCTGTGAAATTATTGTATGACATAACCCCTTAGTGGAAAGAGACTGAGAGGATGGTTTGCTTTCTCCTAACTATGCCTTTTCTTTAGGAAACTCCTTAGCATGACTTCTGGCAGTTTGTGCTCTGACAGAGGTGCTTTTTTCCAATGTTTGTAAATTTATGAGCAGGTGCTTTCACATATAGTAGGTGGTTTGGGCTAATTCTCGGGGTACTGTGCCCATGCAATGCATGCATTTATGTATGTATGCACGCATCACTTCCCCACCTTTGTAGACTGAGTACAAGCTCTGCCACATGGTGATGTATCATGATCACATAATCTGGCATTTTGTCTTTCTTTTCCCCTGTTATGACTGAGGCAGCCATCCCATGCTGTCAGATTTTCATTATTTGCAGCCACAGCACACAGCCTTCAAGGCCCCATCCAAGCTGTGGTGGCAGGGTCAGGAGCAAAGCCCCAGCTCAGCCCTCAGTGGCAGAGGAATGGGGCTAATGGCGCTGGTGGAGTTCTCAGCTGCAGTGCTGTTGTCCTTACTGGTCTCTCTCAAAGTTCTTTATTGGATGAGCTGAGGATGCAATGGTGAGAGGAAACTTATGTCTCTGCTGTTATCTAGCTAAAATCTTTCCCCTGTTTCTCCCTTGTGCTGTCCTACTTCTGTCTGGTCCCTTCTATGGCTTTCTACAGCACAGAATTCCCGTACGCCCTTATTTCACCTCACCAGCAAAACTTTAAGGTGAAAGAAAATTGACTGCAGCTTTGTAACGAACAGTGCAGAGAACTGATTGCTGTGGCATGTTTAGCTGCACGGTGATGACATATTAGACTTCCCCCAGTCCAAGGGCTGTGACAGGTCTCCTAAGGAGCTCTTTGCCCAGTTCAGTGATGGATCAGCTGCTCCTGTGCTCCTACCTGTGTTTGTCCCCTGCTGTGTAAGAGCAGTGCACTTGGAGCAGTGTGGTTGGAGGTAACTGAGGCAGTGACTAACATATTGCTGGGACTTTCCTACTTGCTGCTGTTTCCCCAGCTCTTAGACGTAGGGGAATTTGACACAAGCAGAAGATTGGGGTTGGCTGCTTCTCCCCAGCTCAGCCACTACTGGTTTCACTTGCAGTAAACCGCCCACACAGCAGTAAAAATGTTAACAGGGTGAGGAAGCATTGGACTGCCTTCTGGGGGGGGGGGGAGAGAATTTCCGCACCTGGCTCAGAGTCTTAATCAGCCCTTGTTCTTGTTTTAGTGCTATGGACAGCTGCTGTGAAAGCCAGCTCTGCGCTGGCTGTGGTTTGCCCTGAAATGAGCACTCCTGGCACTGTGAGCAGCCCACAGAGGTGCCAGGTAGATGGCTCTGACAGGTTTGACGTGTGCTGCATTCACTAACCAGTACGTGTACCTGACAGGCTCTGGGCTTGGAGGTTATGTGGGGCTCTGCTCCTCAGCTGCCTGGTAGAGGGGCTCAGGGAGCACCAGGTTGCCCTGCAGCATCACAAGGGAATTAACAGAGCTGTCCGGTGACTTGTTTCTGCCCCAGGGGCAGGAACTAGGATCCGTAGTTCAGCATTAAAGCCCTATTCTGAGCTGTGCTGGGCCTTTGCAACAGATGCTGCTGTTCTGAAACAACAGCAGTTCTTCCTGCTTCTGGTCAGACAGCCCCCGCTGTTCTTAAAACTTGTCTTAAAGCCTCCAGCTGAGTTCCCCAGTGAGAAGGGCCATTGCAGTCACCTGCTGTCCTTTTTGTTTCTGTTTTACATGTTATCTGCCATTGCTTCAATTTGCCACTCATAGCACATTCTGTTCCAACTTCTGCAAATGCACAGTGGCAGGATAAGCAATGTGGAAACTGGGCTGTGCACAGTTACTCTTCCTTGACTCCAGAACAGCAGCCAAGGGATGCAAGCAGCATCCTTGTTTGATCAACAACCATACCACAGCAAAAGCTGCTATGGAGCACAAAATCCCCCAGTCTCTACTCTTTGTAAGAACAGCGTTCAAACTCCTCTTTTTGCTGAGCAGTGTAAAAAAAATCTACCAGTGTTTGGGTGGATGCAGAAGTACTGATGTGAAATTATTTTGTTGTACTAGTCCCTATGCTTCAGTGGAGCCAATAACTCCACGTTTCAGCCTTTTCAGTCTCAAGTAAAATGTGTGCTCCTTCTGTTGCCTTACAGCTTCATAGCAAGACACAGCTTCAAGCAATGAGGATGATTGCAGGAAGGCTCCAGTAAGCTCTATAGCTTTTCTGTTCAGAAATGTAATTTTAATTTTTTGGAAACACTGGTTACTCCAGAACAGGCCATATTTGTTTCCAATGTTGTTAATAGATTGTAATATATTACTAGTCATAAACTGTCCATCCTCTATCCCCATCTTTTCTCCCCAGTGTATGGTATACCACTGCCAGCTGCACCAGGACAGTGTGTGCTATGGATTTAGGGGTGAGCTAGCGGTGCTTTTGGAGGCTGTGCACTGCCGTGCAGCCATCTGTAGCTCCCTGCTTGCACACCGAGGCAGCATGCAGGGTGAGCCATCAGCTTTTGCTTTGAAAGTGCTTCCACAAAAACAAGTTGAAAGCAGCTGGTATGTTTGCAAACCTATTTGAGATGCCAAAAGCTGAGCAAGGTACACTCAGTTGCTACACCCAGCCCAGGAAGTGGAAGGCCTGCTGTAAAAACTTGTGGCCAAGCAGAGTGGCAGAGTGGGTGAGGTGAAGCTTTTGCCACAAAAAGCCATATGCCAACAGCACTGCTCTGATCTTGGTGCACCGCTGGAGGCAGAAGGGATGTGCTGATAGATGTTGGCCCTAAATGGGTGTGATAGGTACTTCTGGAGGGAGAGACCTGTGTATGGGCTTCCAAAGGAGCCTGAGCACCTGAGGAGGGTGGTGTGGAGGCTCCATCAAAGAAATCACTATTTCCTGCAGGCTGAATGTCTGCCAGCAGGTTCCAGCACAGCAAAGCAACCAAGGAGAGAGCTCTGGGTACGTTCTGCATGGTTTAGACGAGGGTGATGGATCTGAGCAGAGCTGTAGGTTTCTGTTCCAGATGGTCATGGTGAGTTGACAGGCGCAGTCATTTCTGTTTCTGCTTACCACTGTGTATCTGGTGATTTCCTAAGAGAAGACACAAGGCTGTGAGTTCTCCCCTCCATGTGAGCAAGACACACAGTCACAGCGCTGTGAAGGTAAGCCCTTTTCCTTAGGTAGGAGCCAAAGCAACATCTGCTACAGCCTTCATGCAGAACGGGGTCAGGCTGAGATGCGTACTGGGGACAATAAGAGGCTGAGCCTACTCCTGGTGGCTATAAAGAGATAATAAGGAAAGAGGGAGTGTGGAGGGCAGTGTTGTGGGGGTCTGTGTGGGTGGCACTCAGCATTCCCCACAATGAAAGCAATGCACTCCCTTCTCTGTGCAGCATCCTGTGTGAGCTCGCAGGCTCCAGCTGTGGGGCTCTGTTGTTTTTCAGCCTGCCGCTTTGCTGACTAACACCTCCGCTTTCTGCCAGGCTCATTCATATTTTAACCCATTTCCTGAGCTTTGAGGTGGTTTCTTCTATTGCTTTTCCCTCCAGTAGAACGCAGTCACTCAGTTCTCAGCTGTTCTCCTGTCATGTTTGACTCATTCCTTATGGTAATACGTGATTGTCTCCCTCTTAAATGTCACCAGAATTGTTTTTAGAATCGTTATGCCTGGTCTGTGTCTTGGAGCCAACCAAGGAGGGGGGAGCCGGGAGCCAGACCACCTCCCTGCCTGCACTCTGGTTGCTGCTGCCTCTTGGTCCCAGAGTCTGTTTGGAGACAGGTGTTAGCAGAATAAAGCAGCATTGAGCTGTCAGATGTGGTCCATAGTGTACTATTTAGTTAGGTTTAACCACTTAACGACTTGCCACCAGTGCCTCATCCACTCATTCTACCAACCCCACTAAGTGACTTGCATGACCTTTTAGATCTAAGCCCTAGAAGTTTGCTTTATCTGCTCTCCCACCTTGTTCTCACATAAAAGTAAGATAAAAGAGCAATACAGTAATAAATGATGTGTGGGAGCCTGGACCTGAATTCATTGCCTCCTCTGTGCTCACCACATCCTTCTGTCAGTAATACTGATACAGGGATGACGTCAACCACCGCCTATCGCTGTGTATTCCAATACAGCACGGCTCCTGGGGCACACACTGGGTGTTTTTCTCACTCAGTGCTGATGAGAGCCACTTGCTCTCCATCTCCCACATGCAGTGTCTGCGGTCCCAGTAACCGTTTAGCCAGGCCAGTCCGACTGGGGGAGAGTTGGAGGGCTGACATGGACAGCTGAAAGGACGGGGCAAGGTAATGTCCGTGTTCCCATCAATTTTCCCTGCTGCCAGTTTGCTCCTGCTTGATACCTGTGCCCTCACTGTAAATCTTTCCCTTTGCTGATGTGGCCCTTGTGCCCCATGTCATTCACGTTGCCTCATACTGGGCAGCCGGAGTAGCCTGATGCCTCTCTGTTTCTTTGGGCATTGTGATTAGGTAGCTGTGTATGTTGCTAATGAAGATTTCGAGAAGAAAACTTGCTTTTGTATCTAGCTGGTGGCCTGAGAGACTTCTGCAGACCTTCCACTCTTTTTACTTGGATGTAACTGGGGCGTTTGTTTTCTCATGCTTGGAAATATCAGGAATAATAAGCAAAAATAATCTTAAAAGTCTGTCTACTGGTCTCATCTCCTCTTCAATGATGTATTTTAAAACATTGCGGAGTCATTGATAGGTATGCATATAGATGAATGGATAATCACTTTTTATTAAGAACAGCCAGCTTGGATGGGGCCCTGGGCTGCCTAATCTAATGGGTAGCAATCCTGCCCATGGTAGAGGGTTGGAACAGTCTGATCTGTAAGGTCCCCTCCAACCTAAGCTGTTCTGTGTTTAACATGATGCCATGATTATCACAAAGGGGTGGAAGAGACTTCTCTAATACAAAATAGGGAATAAGTTTCTGCCTCTGCTCATTGCCTACTGCCATTCTGCCCTCTGCTCAGAAGTGAACAATCTCACAAGCAGGGAACTGTCCTTATTCTGCTCCTTTGCTCTTATCCAGAAATCTTCCATCTGAATTGCTTTGTTTTACAATAACCTTTCTCCGGTGTGTAATAACACCAGCTAATGTTGCTATAAAACTACTTGGGCTTGTTGCTTTGACTTTATCTTGTTCAATCTTTCCTGTTCTCTGAGTAGAAAAGAAATAAAGAAGAAATAACAGACCAGTAAGCAACGAAGGCTTCCCTCTCATTGCTTTGCCTCTGTTGGCAGCATGAAGGAAAGCAGAACGACAGCAGTGTTGTGGCTGCAAAACACTCAGGGCACTGCTAGTTGAATTCTGAAACAAGCAGCGAGTCTGCAGAGCTTTCTGGGAGTCCAGCCCTTCCTGCTTTGGCTGCTTCTGCTTGCAGAGAGACCCAGGCTGTGGTGTGTGGCAAAGCAGTGACATTGAGGTTGGGCTTGTGCAGCAGGGCACAGCTCTGAGGGATCACTGCAGCCCCTGAGCCAGCACTGGGCTGCACTCAGGGAGAGGACACGAAGGCCTGAGGTGGCACAGCTTTGTTCTGGTCCTAGTGATATCTAGGCTTCGACGTACAACTCATTTGGTACAGCTCTTCTATTAAATGTGCTGCAAGGAACAGAGCTTGTGATAAGATATTGCAAGCAGATGCTGCAATGTGAGGAGCCTTCCCATCTGCAGGGGACTGTTCCCATGGGGCAGTTAGGTGAGTGTGGTTTGGATGGTGTGATGAGGGGTGCCTTACTCAGAGAAGGAAGAGTTTAGAGAAGAGTTGGGGAAGGGTAAATGAGAGCCCAGGTGTTGTTCAGCAGTGGGCTGTGCCATAGTTATCAGGGACTGGTGGTAATGACAGTAGTCACAGAGAATATTTGGAGAACTGGAGAAAGAGCTTCTGTCCTGCTGCTCACAGCAGGCAAGGGAGACAAGCAGGGTGCCTGGGCTCCTTGGTGAGCTGGAGCAGCTGCTTTTCTGTGTCTGCAAGGGAGTGAGGGCAGCAGCAGCACAACTGCTCCCGCTGCAGAGCTGAGGTGCTGCTGCCAGCTCCGGAGTGAGCCCTGCTGATCTCATCTGGACACTGCAGAGCCTTGAGAGCGAGTCTCAGATCTCACGTGGGTTTGCAGGGGCTTTTTGGTGGCTGCTAAATTTATTTTGCTTTCATTATTTGAGTAAACTTGGAAATTTTTAAACATCGTGAGTATTCCCCAAGTGGGAGAGGCGTTGCTGGTGTTCTCTCTGATGGGCAGCTGGTTGTTCGCTTCTTCCACATCATTTTCACAGGTGCCTTGCTGCAAACCAGGGCCAAGTTTTGCAGGGTTCTGGCACTTGTTGCTTGCAAGCATGGCTTGCAGTCAGCAGAGGGGGTCCTGCAGGGTCAGTCACTGAAGGTGTAGCAGTCATCTGTATTTGGTGTTGTTTCCTCATTTTCTTACACACATCTTGCTGTACCCTTCTCTGAAGACCTTCCTTTCCTGTAGGTTCTTTTCACCAGTGTATCAGGACAGTCTTCTCCTGAAGAGTGCTGTGCATTATTATTCTTATGACAGATGGAAGACTGTTCTTTGTTTTACTCTTCCTGGCTCTGTGGAGTCCCTTAGCTGGATGTCCCTTGCTTATTTAACTATACAGAGTCCAAATCAGTGAGTTCTCACAGGTGCTACCCATACAGACCCACACTGACATTCAGACTTGCTTATTGGACTAATGCACTCTAGAGAGGTTTAAGCCACAACAATGTCGCTTCTATTTGCAAGACACTTCTAATTGCAGGAAGTTGATGAAGGAAAAAATGAGTTAGCATTTAACCAAGTGTCTTCCTGTTGCATGGATAGGCTGAGGCTGCAGGCACTTTTCCGCTTGCTTTGAGCAAATGCTGCTGGCAAAGAACAGAAATGTCACTCATCTGTATAATGGCCATAGGCCCCCCACCCCAAACCCTTAGCTCATGGGAGGGATATATGAAGGAAAGCTGAGATGCCTTGCCCAAATTAAGCAGTTCACTTTTAGACATGTAAATGAAGGCTTGATTAATTCCACTTTAACCTCCAACACACATGAGCAGATGGCTGAGCTGAACCCCTCATTGTACAGCTTTTTTGCTTTTTTTCAGGACATCCAATCAGAACCAAAATGAGGAACAAACTATGGCTCCAGACTATTTCCTTCTTCCTTTTATTCCAGTACAGTAAGTTCACAGACACATATTCCTGGCTGTACACAAGGCTTGCCTTCCTGGTCGTGGACACAGGCTCTGCAGGGCTGTATACAAGAGTGCCACAGGGCAATAAGCACAAGACAGATGGTAGTGGAGAGGGTTCCATGGGGAGGGGAGGTGAAGAACAGGCAAGAGAGGGAGCAGAGCTGGGCAGATCTCAACCAAGTTGCAGAGTGGCGTCAACAGGGATGGGATGCTGCAGAGACACTTATTGCCTTGCACTGAAATGGCTCCTGGTGACATAGGGGTAGGATTCCTCCCCAGAGCTTTTGCTATCGGGAACGTTCTGGTGGCTGATAGCTGGATATACAGCATACAGCACAGTTGGAAGCCAACCGGACACTGGAGTAATCTCTCCCAGTCTGAACCCCTTTGCTCAGGTCTGCACTGTGCAGATGACCACTGCCACTTCCCTTGCTGGTTCTTATCTGCTGCTGCTGGACAGAAAAAGGTGGCAACAAGAGCATCTGCACAGAACGGGCGTGAGCTCAGCATTTCACACGCTGATCTAGGCAGAGCCCTGGAATTAGTGAAAGAGGTGAATTCAGAGTTGTATCTTCTGCCATATTGTGATGTCAGTATTGTGAATTTTGAGTAACATGAGGAATTAACTGTACTAACTTCTTTAGTAGTTAGTTTAGCAGGTTGACCAGGCTGGATCTTACTGTTAGAAGTAAAATCCTTTGATCTTTTTTTCTGAAGCTGCCAGGGATGGAATTCATCCTGAAGTCGATTGGGTTCATCTAATGTTTTATTACTCCGTTACCAGTAAATTTGACCTCTTCTTCAATTCGTTAACAAATTCTTGCAGAGATAATTGTGCAGACAGCCAAGGAGTAGTAGACTTTTTGACCAATATCATAATAGCATAGAAGAATGCTAATTAGCAGTGCTTATTAGTTTATAAATAGTTGCTGCCCTTTCTAAAAGAAAGCAGGGGTAACAGCTCTCTTTTTCTAGAAGAGCAAAGTTATTCTAACGAAGAAAAAGTATCTTGTTTGGGACCAAAGCAAGAAATGCATGCCCTGGGGGCTCAGGGCAGCCTGCTGAGGACACAAAATGAAAAGCTAAGATTGAAATGAAACAAAATGAAATTAATGAAAATTTCAGAACAGAATTCTGAAGTCAGAGTGAGAGGAAAAAGTCAAACTGAAACAAAATAACAGCCACGTAATTTGAATAATGCAATGTGTAGTAAAGCACACCGACACAATTTGGAGACAGAGGCTGCTGCAAGAATCCCCACACTTCTTTTTCTGCCACCTTCCTGCTTCACTGGAGGTCTTGCACAGGGATCTGAGTGCTGAAATAGACCGTGCCATGCTCAGAGTGACAGGGTGTTGCATGGCACATCTGCAGAAGCTCTTTTTACTTCTCAGCCTCTGAGAACTGTTAAAAGTGTAAATGCTGTTTTGTGGCCACTTGTAAGTGTGCTCATTTTCCTAATGACAACACTATGATCTCCATAATTGCCTCTCAGGTTCTCATCAGAAGTCTGTTTCAGTTTAAGTGATCAATAAATTCTGCCAGTCACTTGAGCATCAGAATTACTTATGGAAATAATAGTGGGAAAGTTGCAATACCTTTTTGCCAACATTTGATGAAGTCTATTCCAAGTCTCTGGAGCTGGATATGAAAATCATTGATGCTGCAGATACCAAACTGTAGAAAATTTTAAGCTGAGAGAATGGTAAAGAAAGAATTACTAAATTACCAATTTTTAATGTGCCAAGAGCCACGAATCTTAGGTTGTGATCATGTGAGAGAGGACAGAGAGATGTTTGAAAATTCAGCCCCGGTTTGGGCACATTCTGGTATTTCTGTACATCATCTGCTGCTACAGCATTCCCAGTGGGTTTTTCTTTATCACTGATGGCTGCCAGGGGTTCACCTCCCTTTGGAGGTGGAACATTCCTGTGCTCCAGGACTGGAGGCTTTCTGAGCCTGGTGCAGGGCAGTCTGTTCTCTTTGGATGCAGCAGGACTCCCAAGGGCTGTGTGTTGATACCAAGTTCTGCTTGCTGCAGCATGGAAGCTGGTATTGTGTTTTGTCTCTCCAAACCTGCAGCCGCATGTCGTGAAAACCTCACTTGTTTTGTGGACTATGTGCAGACCCTGTCCTGCCTCCTGAGGAATGACCTGGGTGCCAGTTCATACAATGTCACTGCTACATGGTACGTCTTAATAGAACACAGTTTTTATTGCAAACTGTTTTGTTACAGTGACAGATCAGTCCAACTAGTTTATGTGATAGAAGTGGACTACTTTCTTTGGTGTTTTTTTTTTTTTAATGGTTTCAGGGTTGATGAGGACGATCCAGAAAACACTGTGGCAGCCTGCAGTCTCCTGGAATTGTCCAGGAGCACCAACCACACAGAATACATTTGTACTGTGGACATGACTGAGCTGCTGGCAGATATCAAAGTCCAGGTGGATGTCACAGAGATAGCTGACAGGCAGCATGTGATTTCCAGAAGTTTTTATATGAGAGAAAACAGTAAGTACAAAAATGATGGGCTCGATATATGTTGTTTAAGCTTGTCTCGATTTGCCAGGATATAGTCTGGGCAGGGAATGAGCAAGACAACCAAGGGTGGGGAGCTGTGTTCAGTGTGCACTCCTCTGGGCAGGACAGTGGGATCTTATTGTTGCCATTATAAACTGCAGAACACCTCATGACTGTGCCTGAGCTGAGAGTCACCCAACTGTGCAAGTGACTGACTAAAGGAGACCTCCTGTGTGATGAACAGAACAAAGAACTCTGCTTTCCTCATCTCCCAGGAGCTAGCTGCCCTCGTGCTATTTTCCCTGGTTCCTGAGATGACAAGCAATTGCAGAGATGGGCAACAGAGTCAGGGACAGAAGGCATTCAGAGCACCAGATGTCACAGTGCTGCCTGCGCAGGAGTTTGTGCTGTGCAGGGCTGCACCCCCCAGGGCACTTCTGGCCCCTCTGTGTTCTGCCTTCCTCATACTGCGCTCTCTTGCATCTGCACTGATGTTGTGAAGAGTAACACTGTTGTGTCTTCACCCCCAGTCAGACCACAGCCTCCGTTCAATCTGACTGCTGTGTTCACAGAAGGTTACAATATTTCTTGGGAAACCATCTACCAGAACCCTCTTTTCTACTTTCTGAATGAGGAGCTGGAATATCAGCTGCGTTATAAGAGAGGGGCTGACACCTGGGAGGTAAGTGAGATATTGGCTTACCATCAAGTACCAGCAAAGAGGGGACCAGCCCTAGCAGGACAGGAGCACTGGTGTGGAAGAAGGGTTCTTGAGGTTTTGAAAAAGATTCTATTTTGCTTGCCTGGACTAAGAACAAGCAAAACTATAAAAAGAATTGAGAAGCAGAAGCTGTTAGAAAAGTACAAGGTTCTGTGGGGAAGAGAGGTAGATCATTTGCTTCTCCTGTTCTGCTTTGAAGAATCCCCCAGGGCCTCAGGCAGCTGCTGAGCAGCCAGAGTATAGCCCACAGAAACAACATGACAGCAGAGGGGATTCCTTTGCAGGGCTCCAAGTGAGGGTAAGGTGAGAGCACTCTCTCCTCACTGACTACTTGATGTGTAATTATTTACAGACTCAGAAGATTAAGTCTGTCCATGAAGACAAACGGACACTGGTGATCCTGCCATGGGAACTCCAGGGGAACACTGAATATGAATTCCAAGTGAGAGCCAGACCCCGAGAAGACACTGGCTACTATGGATTTTGGAGTGAGTGGAGCTCCCGGCTGACACTGAAAACCAGCCCTGCTGGTACGTTCTGTTAGCTCTCCCTGTCCTTCCAGTTTGTCCAGTGTCAGAGAATGATACCAGAAATCTACTGAAATCTAATTAATTAGAACAAAAGCTAGATAGTCTGGTAAAGGCGGGCATTTGGCTTGCTTATGGGTCCATGAACTGTAGGCAGGAGAACTGAGCCCAGGAGCAGGGAGCTGACCTGCCTCAAGCACATCGGCTGCCAGCTGCCCTGTGGCATTGCTGCAGCAGTGATGCACAGCTCCTTTCATCGCTGAATCCTCTCTGACCAACTTCACCCATACCTGACCTCATGGACAGGGGCTGGTCCCCACGTAACAGCCTCAGAGTCTCTAAGAGAAAGTCTGGGGTAAAATCTCAGGGTCTTCTTTCTGCTGCTTATTGACCACGGTCAAAGTGCAAGGTGAGTCTGAATGACCTTGTCTCTTTCTCCAGCCGTGACACAGAGAGCAGGCATGGGGTGGATGCTGTTCTTTATTGTTGCCATGGTGATCACTGCCTCAATCACAACCTTTCTGGCCAAGCAACAGAGGTAAGAGCCCATAGGGAAGCTGGACTTAAATGCCCCTTATTTGTTCTGCTAAAAATGGGGTGTTCACATGCAGCCCTCTTTGCATATTGTGCCTTCAGGCATAGATACAGCTGTGGCCTTGTGAGGGCCAGCAAAGTATAGTCTCCGGCTGGTGTAATGTCAAGAGTGCCTTGCTTTTCTTTGTCAGCTCTGATGCCTCTCAATAGGCTGGGTGGAAGAGAACACTGTGCACAGAGACTGAGCAGAGGCCTCCAGGCTCCTGAACTGTTTTCCTGGTCCTGTCCGTGCTCTGGAGATGCCCAGATGGGAGCAGGCATGGCTTGCTGCCCCTTTTCAAGCTGGTGCAAGTCACTCAGTGGCCTCAGGGGCCTCTCCCCTCTTGCAGAGAGACAGTGTGCTTAACCCCAAGACCTTTCTTTTTTTCTTTTCCAGCTTGTGGAAGAAGATCGCTTGCATCCCAGATCCATCTGCCTTTTTCAAACCACTTTACCTGATGTATAATGGAGATTTCAAGGTATAAATGAACTACATAAGTGAGTGAAGCTTATGATAAACTCATAAAATAACCTGGATTAAAAAGGACCACAACGATGATCTCATTCCAACCCCCTGCTATGTGCAGGGTCACCAACCACTAGACCAGGCTGCCCAGAATCACCTGCAGCCTGACAAAAGTAAACTAAAAGGCTCCACATTATTTCCTGGGCAAGGGATTCTCATTAGTACAGTAAGTGAAAGAATATCTCAAGGGAATGCTGCATGGGTACAGACAAGGATCGGAGCCCTCCAGTATGTTTTCTGTACTGTGATGGTCTTTATGCCTGCGCTGCTCATGTCTTGTAAATGCTGTCTTAGTGATGAGCTGAGCTCATATTTAAACTGTGAAGTTTCTAGTTGTGAAGGGAATGGACAAAGCAAAATATCAGGACTGCAATCTCATGCTGCAATCTCATGCTGCCATCAAGGATGTGGACTGTAGGCTTTGCTGTAAGCCACATCTCCCAGTCCAGCCTCTGCAGTAACACAGGCTCAACATTAATCTTTGCAGTTCTCTCTGGAGAGTCACTTGTGCAGACAACATATAGACGTATCACCTTGGAAAGATGGCTAGAATTCTGGGGAGAAATAGCTGCTGTGTCACAGCACTGTATGTGCAGCTGCCTCCTCCATGAGGAAGTATCTTTGTAAAGTGAGCAACTTCGCCTAGCCCTCATTAATTACCTTCTCTTTTAACATCTGTCAGACTTGCTCACCTGACAAAGTGTCTTGCAAAACCCACAGGGTTTTCAGGATTTGTCAAGATTAAAAAGTAAAGAACATTGAGTATCCATAGACTTTGCATTAAGCTGAAGAGAACCCCCAATGCCATCGTAAAACTGTGAAAGTGCTGGCACTGAACTGCAGAGATCACTGCCTCTTTCTGAATGAGTTCCTTTCGTTCCTGCTGACTGGTAGCGCTGCTCATAGGCGCTTCAGTGTCTGCTTTTTGTTTCTGCTTTTCTTAGACCCTCTGCAAGAGAGTTGCCAGCGGGGCCCTGACGATCATCGTGTCCTTTCCTGGTGCTGTGTGGATGATGTGTGCAGTTGGGTTAAATGGCAAATTTTGCATGGGCACCACTTAAGCTGAAGATTACAGCAGTTGTTTCTTTTCTTTCCTGCCTTCCCCTTTCAGTCCTATCACAGCTTCCTTTATCTGCATGCCAGGGGTACTTGCATCTCCTTGTGGTGCACATGGTTGTTCTCAGGAAGGGAGCCAGGACTAGGTGAGCCCAGTGTGGGAATTCCTAAAAGTTAAGGGATGGCACTCATAGTGGAAGTGAAACCAGCCTGTCATGCGCAGAGCCATGCTCTTGTCAGAGAATCTTGTGGCTTCACCCTGCTCGATGGGACTGATGCTACTGCTGGTTTCTAATCTGCTTGGTCAGTGCTTCTGGGAAGGAATGAGTGTCAGTTACAGTGTTGCTAAAGCTCAGTTCTGAGAAAGTTAATAAATTTGCAGAATAAAGGAGCACACGAGATTCAGAAACAGACAGCGTCAAGAGGATGTGGTGACTTCACTAATATGTGAACAGTCATCATTATCATCATCATTATCAGCAGGCAGAAAAACAATCAATTAAGGCTTGTTCAACTGCATCTTGCCTGCACCAAAGCAAGTGCTCAGGAAATGTCTGTAAATAATGACAGTAGCAATGCTTGCACAGAGCAGACCTGGGTTGGACAGGAAGCAGTGAAAACATTAGAGAACTGTTAAGACAGAAAAGGAGAAGGGAAAGCAGAGGAACATTGTTTACCACTTAGTGTATGTGGGTTCTTATGTTTATGTTGGGTGGGAACGTGCAAACGCGTGTCAAGAGGGCATAGGAAATATTCTGCCTGCTCAGTTCTGAGGAGGGAGTTTCCTTCTGTTCCCTCAAATAGCCTGTTGCATGCACAGCTTTAACACTAAGCTCTTTGCAGCTTAGGTTAAGAATAATTTGGAATAATTAGGTACTTCCTGTAGTAGTGAAGTTTCTACACTTGGTGTCAGTGTGTCACAAGATGATCTCTTCCCAAAAGCAAGGGCTGCTCTGAAACAAATGCCTCCTGTTTAATATGTTGACCCATGATGGCAGAGGTTGAACCTTCCCACCAAAATCCTGTTACACGTTGTTGCTGTGTGACAGATGGCAGCAGAGTGTGTGTGCTGTAATGCTCGTGGTGGTATGGAAGGACAATATCCAATGTGAGACACCTCCCAGTCATCCCAGTGTTATCTGCACCAAGCAATAGCTACAGCTCTTTGATGCCTGCAGCCCCTGCCCTGTCCGTCTTTCTTGTCACTGTGAGAGAAAGGACTAGTTTTGGGCATGGTAAAGATGATCTTCACAAAAGATCAGGTCAAGCCTTGCCATGAGCAGCTAAGATGAGGGAAGTGACAGAACAGGGCTATGTGTGTGCTGGCTGCAGATGTTGCATGTAAAGAAACTGACTTTGCTTCCAGAGAGAAACAGTGTCCCAGAGAAGGATGCAGGGCAGACATGGTGGCTTAGGGGGGATACCTCTGGCTGATGAACTGGGAATGCTGCTATGGGCAGTGGCAGCTTCTTTGGTTGGTTTATGTTGTTTTTTTGTCTGTTTGTTTCAGCATGAGGAAAACTGCAAAGCCATGCAAATCTCTTAGAGCTGATTAATTTTGTTTATGTGAGCTATTTTTTCTGCACTGCCTGTTCCTTGTAATAACTGCATCTCATACCCTACCACTTTAGGGGAGTCGGTGATATTACAGATTGATGGTGCCTCTGAAAACATAAAATCTTCAGTCGCCTCTGTAGAAACTCACACTTGACAATACTAACCTCTCTCTCTGTTTGTGTTTCCATGCAGAAGTGGGTTGGTACATCCCATATGAAAATGACCATTGATTTATTTGAATGGGAAATAGTCCCTTCAGAAGTCCTAGAAGTTTTCAGCATGCGTCCTTCCAACTGCACCTCACAGGAGGAGATAAAGGAGTTGAAAAATGATCTGCCTTGCAAGCCTTGTGTGTCCTGCCTGACCGCCCCAGTCCAAGACAGCCTCCTGTCAGGTGTGAACAGCAGCAGTGTGACTCAGGACCGCTCATATGGACATTTGTCCATTGACACTGTGACAGTGGCCGATGAATTTACACCTTGTAACTGCCAGTGCAGCTGTAACCGCATGTACAGGGAACAGAAGCATAATGGTGATGAAGATAGTGCTGGAGAAAATGGTTACCCCAAGGTTAACATTGATGATGAAGACAGAAGGCCTTCCAGTGCCTTGCATCTGTCTGACCTGAACTCACAGGACAAAATTCTGGCCTCAGGCTCTATGTCCACAGATCACCTGAGGACTGCAGGTGCCCCAGGCCACCAGAAAGTTGAAGAGGCTGTGGAAGGAGGGATGGGGAGCATCCTAGAAGCCCTCTGCTTGCATCCTAATCAGTGGGATTTGGAAAATCCAGCTTCTCTACCTTCTCCTGATGGTGAAAGTGTGTCCTACAGTGAAGGATCCTGTGACTTTTTCCCACGCAGTGCAAGGCCTGGTGACAGTTACCCCATGATCTGCCTAGATTTGGACACTATTGACAGTGGCTTTGTGGACTCGGACTGTGGGAGTCCAGTTGACTGTGACTTTGAGCAAAATAGCCAGACCAACTGTGGGTCCGTTTCTCTTGAGCAGGAGGGAGAGGACTTTCCGCGGAGCTATGTCAAGCAGTGGATCTCCTGCCATGCTGACAGCCCTGCCAGCGGGACTCAGACAAACTGAGCAGTTGATTTTGTTCTGCAGAGTAGAGGGCCTTTCCCATCCTGTGCCAGAAGCAAAGTGTTGGCCAAATTCAGAAGGAAAAGCAGAGTTTACTCTGTGTAAGCTGTACTGCATACAATGGAGAACAGTTACATCCATAGAAATATAGGTCTGTTTCTACTGCCACTCATTCTGTCCACATTGTATCAAACCTGGCATGATTAATTTTCTTTCAGCATTCCTTGTCAAACCCTTATATAATGACTACAGACTTTAATTTTTCACAACAAGAAAAAGCAACTGTACCTTTAAAATTGCTCCTTAGCTTACATAGATTTGATTTTTTTTTATTTTTTATTTTTTAAAGTAAGCTTGTAAATAGTAGAGAACTTTAAAGGGTTTTTCCCTGGCATTCTCTTATGACTCGAGTTGGATGTACATGGAATCTTATAAGCGTATCTAATGCCAAGCATGTTTGTTACATTAGAGTTCCCTTACCCTATTCTAACAACAGATGTTGTTACTTTTCCAACCACTCCCCTCTGTACATGCAGCTGTAAAGTTTGTATTAAGTATTAATTACATCCATCCCCATCCATGGGGTATAATCAAAAACATTTCTCATCATCAGGGAATGGCATATCCAAGAGACAAATCATACCTCAGGTTTTAGATGAGGCTTGCCTTTGCAGATAGAGTCTATAAATTAAAAATCTTCAAAACGTAATTCCAGAGAAACTCCTTCTGCTTGGGCTTCCTACTGATCCTGCACCTCTCCACACGTTTTCCAAGCATATTAACTATAGCGCTGAGTAGCTATTAGAATTATGCAGAAGTTTCAGGAGTGTTGTACCACCTGGATGTGCCTGCAGCTCTGTCTCCTGTCTTGGACTTCGCTGCAGCTCACAGGTCAGCAGCACAGAGCTTCACCAATCTCTGCTAGCTCATGCAGCCTACAATGAACGTGGCATTTACACTGCATCTGTGATTGTTTTCTCCACATATCTCTGCCTGTTTTGTTTAGGATAACTGTCTTAAAAAGTTAATGTGATACTGATATTGAATGTGAACACCTCACATCTTATCTAGGCACAGTGCTACTGACCCAAGAAGCACTTGGGTGCTGATTGTACAGTGAGAGAACCTGTGTCATCAACAATCTGTTCCTGTGATACCAATAAACACTCTTCCTTCTCCCCAAGCTTTTACTCCAGACTTTCAGCAACCTCACAGCTCCCTGTAGTAGTTTTGCTCTGATGGCCAGCTGAACTCCACGCTTCTCTCTCACTCCCCCTCCTCAAAGGATCAGGAGTAGAAAACAGGATGAAATAAGGACAGAGAAATCGCTCTCCAATTGCTGTCACAGACAGCACACTCCCTTAACAAGAGGGAGCTTTGCAATGAAGAGAAGCTGTTTCTTTTACAGGTGGGTGCTGTGGGAGATTTTTCTATGCATCCACAGCCCTTATTTGATTACTTACAGCAGCTGTGCTGCCAGTCGTGCTCATGTTGAGCCTACATGGGTTTGCTTGTTTGCCTGTACTGTTTTTACTGCCTCGAGATATCCCATAGCTCTGGCCTTCCTGCGTACAAAGTGATTGATATCAGTGAGTTAGGTTCCTTCTCTCCTTTTTTTTCTGTTTTTGCCGTCTTCTGCGGCTGTGCTGCAAGTACCCTGCATGTCCTCAGCGAGGCAGCAGAGGAGCGAGGCAGCTCTGCTTCCTCGTTGGGGAGATGCGTTCCTCGCAGTGTCCTGCAAGCTCTGCTGTGTCTGTGCAAATGCGCACTGGGCAGAAGCACCGCTGATGGTCTGTCTGTAACTGCCTCCTACAGACACATCATACAGCTGTTTGCTCTTCTAAAATGACCTCGTGGTAATTGGCCAAGGCTGCTGTGGGGAGGAGGGGGATCTCACTCATCTTTCTGGGCCCTTTCACATCTCAGTTCTACATGTTCCATGCTTCTGATAACATCATTGACCCCAAAACTGCTGGAGGAGAGGTTTCTATCATTGCTACACAGTCTGAAGCCACACATCTGGTACAAGGTGTTGTTTCACAGCTCCATTGGACTGAAGCTGCCTCTGGTCACTCAAAGAGGCAGAGAGGAGATTGTATGGCACGTGGCACAAGGATTGAAAACAGGTGGTACAGTCCCCATTAAAGCAAGCTGTAAGAGAGAAGCTTGGCCAAAGAGTTGTTGTCCAAAGAGTTGTTGATGCAGCATTGTGGATGTGGAGGTATTTGATGGGTTGGTGTGGGTTGTTTGCTTTTGTGAGGCTTCTAGCAGCAAACTTTACAAATGTCCCTGACCTAACAGTGTTTAATTTGAAAAAGACGTTTTTCCCAAGGATTCCTTGGGCCACACTGGTTGCAAGCCCACATTTTGTTGATTTTCTGGGAGGCTTCTTCTAAATTCAAATGTCTGTAACAGGTTCAATTCCACCCTCGACAGTATTCAAAATGATCAGGGACATGAAAGTGCACTTAAGATATTGCTGACTTGTGTGCTTAGCCTGGGGGACATAACAGAGCCCTCTTACTGTGGATGAGCAGAGGAAAGTGGTCTTGAGCCACAGAATGACCAGGGTACAGAAATGGTACCAGGCTATTGCACTGACCATCTATTCCAATACATGCTGAACTCCTGTACTGACTTTTCTGCCAGCTCTGAAGGCAAACAAGTCAAAACTGCATAGCTGGAGCATCCTTACCCTGTCCTAAAGCAACAGGCTGGAAGATGCAGGGTTACAATGCGTCTCTATCAGAGACAAAATGTTGTCTGTTGTAGCAGGCAATCTATGCCTGTCCCAACAGCTCTGAGGCAGCAGGTGCTATTTGCTCTTCCAAAAGGTTGCTTGCATTTTAAGGCTTTTTCTGTTTCTGCTCACATTTAGGGTTGTTGTAATGATAAGAAGTGTAAAATATATTTGGATGGGTACCCATGGGACTGGTAGAAGTTATACTAGGTGGGGAAGACCTGAGAGCAACTACTTGGAGAATCACCATCACCCTAACTGCATTAACAGTTTGGAAATATGTGTCTCCAGTTCCACATTGCCCTGTCTCTTGGTCCATGAAGCTCACAATGAGAGACTGTTATTCAACCCATCTTCTCTTCCCCTTCTTTGGCACCAGACCCATGTACATGACCAGCTTGGTAGATCTTGACTGTAACACTGCAGTATTTCAGTGAGTATTAGAAATATCTGTTCCCTGTGTTTTCAGGGATGCAGACAGGGAACTCTCATTAGTCCCTGCTGCCTCCAGTATTGCCCCTCTGAGCTCATTGCAGGGAAAGACTGGGGAAGAAGCGGAGGACAGGGCAGCTCAGGGTGCTTGTGATGCTGGGCAGTACTGATAGCCCTGCTGCACAGAGGCCAATGGATGCAGGCTCATCTCACATTCACACGAGGCAAGGAACTGGATTTAGGTCACCTACAGAGAGCTCTCTTGTTGGTACTTTTTATAGAAGTGTTCCAAGAAGATACTTTCATATTCAGCAAATTATTTGGCCTTTTAAAAGTTAACCTCTTAACAGAAATTCCTCAGATTATCCATCACTAATGAGTAATTGTAGATGCAGCTACTTCAACTCAATCTGATAATCTGAGCAGTTTTTCATTGGTTCTTGAGAATATCTTTAGAATCGGGCACAGTAAGCTCTACTTTATTACACCACTGCTGCTACTGCCTGATCATCAAACCACACACCCAGCACTATTGAGGGACAGAGGCAGCGTGAAAAGTGAAGTTTCCTTTGAGCTGGTAAGATGGTTTAACTTACTTCTATGCTTTGCAAGCCAGTAGATAATGATAGGATACATCTACTAAGATAAAATATAAGATATAAAAAATATAATTGATTCATGTTAATGCGGAATTGTATATTGTTTCTTGTACTATGAGGCTGGAACAACCAAACCACCAGAAGGATCTTTGCACTTTTGTTCTGCTAGATTGCTGAGCACAAAACCGCTCTGTCACATTGATTCAGACTTAGATTGTGCTGAAAAGAGGCATCATCTTGGTTTTAAAAAAAATAATAAAGAAATAGGCCCTCCTCTCTGAGTGAAAAAGATGAATGTAAACGAATTCAGCCAGAATAGCCCCCCTCAGTGTTTGGAACTATGCAGGCAAAAATAAATTCTTTTCATGTATGCATACATATGTATGTACATACATAAAAATACACACACACCAGTACCACTCTATTACAGTAGCCTTCCTATGTAGAAACTTCTCTCAGCTGACAGGGTGCAAATCTGTCAAAGCCAGTAGTTCATAGCTGTTCCTGTGCACCAAGTTGTGGAAAAATGGCTCTCCAAAAGGCAGCAAAAGATTGGTTATTTGAGGGAAATCCTTCTACTTTCTTATTCTCTATCAGTTCACACACACACAGGCTGATCATGTGAGTGAGCTACATGTGCTTTACATGTTTCTGTTGGACACATTCACAGATCTATTCTGTGGGTAGATAACATATTATTTTTTCTTAAGGGGTTTCTTACAGGAATTTTCTGTCACTTTTACTCTATTACTTTTCTCCCTGTCTCTGTCACATCAGAAATAACCTTCTTGTCCACATCTTCACAGTCCCTGACAGCTTCTCCTTTTCCTCTTGTAAACTCTCATTTCCGTATCAAGAAGTCAACTCCATGATATTAGCCTCCAGCTCCAATTAGTTCATCAAATCAGCCCTACACTAATTTCTGCCATGCTGTTGCTTACACGCTGGTGCCTATAATTCTCTTCTGAGCTACCTCAGCTTCATTTTTTTAGTCTCTCCTGGCAGCTCTGCTGAGTCGCTTCAAACCAGAGAACATCTAGGCTGCCTATATGCTGAGAGTGCGCTATCACCATCTCATATTAATTCTCTTACCTATCAGTATATTTATTTCACCCTATACATTCTAAAAATCAAAACTAACTTTTTATTTTGTGTTGTACTGGACCTCAAATGTGAGAGTGAGACTAAACTTTGAATATGGATTTCTGTTAACATGAACAGATTTGGCAACAACAGCTGAGCATTTGGGAAATCTGTATTTTGTAGAAATTCTGTTTGAAATGGGAAATAGAACTACAGGAAGGTATGGAAAAGGCACAGCTGCAAAGCCTTATTTTCTTGAGCAGACAGTAGGCAAGAGAACTCTGCCCAGGAAGAAAGGATGGGAATACTATTGCAACCAGCTGAGATCATTGGGAACCCAAGGTCACCAGCGCTGACATCTTGTTAGCTTCTGCTTGCTTCCTGGCTTGATTATTAGGTTCTTGTTCTCCTGCTGCTGTGAAAAGAATTGGCAGTGTTCTGAGATGATGGTCACTGGTAGTAATGACAAATGCTCACTAGGCCATTGAGAATTCCTTTGCTCCATTCTCACTGAAATTGAAAAGGGCTTTTGCACTTATCTCATTTTTGCCCCCTCAGTGGCTGTCTGCTGTCAAGGAGAACTGAGGTTTGAATTAGCCATATGCATTCACTTTGCTATTTGGCCTATAAAAATCTTCATTCCTACCAACAGAAGAAGAAAACATTACTGAAGCAGGCATTTTCTTCTGGACCTTAGCAGAACAGTTTATCTGTGGGCTGGCTGGGCTGTCATCAGTCTTTGGGCGATGTGGCAATTCAGTTTCCACAGCTGAGTAATTTGAAGCAGGTGGGAAGCAAAGCAGATCTGAACAATGAGAAAAGGCACTGGAGTATATCTAGGATACTAGGAAAACATACAGTTGCTTCTTACAAGACAGATCTCATTGTAATGTTCAGCAGACAGAGCTCAGCCTCATGATGTCTCTGCAGTTATCAGTTCCCCCAGATGCTAATACTTGTACCATTATTGCCTTTCTGCACATAGGGAAGTGCTTGGCAATTACTGAGAAGTGATATCACCTGTTTGTGAACCAGCTGACTGGACATACAGCAGGTTTACCTCTGCAAAGTAGAGGACTGCAGGTGTTCAGAGAAAAGTTCATTGTGATAACTTAAGGACAGAGAGCTGTAACTAAGAAGTCCTGTATCAGTCTTGTGACTTTCATCTGAGCAAAGGAATTTATTTTATTTTCTGGATACCTAACCAAGTTTTATAGATTGTAAGTGTTAGAACATATGCTTAGGTAAGAGGCTTTGGTAAGAGATGTGGTTCTCCTCTGTTCACCTTCTGCCCTTTAGAAATGAAGATACCTTATCTATCTTCAGCTCGTAACTACTGAACTCTCTCCATCTTTCTCTAGCAGATTTTAAAAAGCAACTTTTCTCCTATCTGAAGTACTCTTCCTGTACTGATAATTCTAGCTGGCGTAAAATTGCTTCTTAGCCTTTCCTTTGGTTAAGTCTAAGAGATGACTTGATCTCTCAGTTGTTTATCTCAGACAAAAGATATCAAAGATTAAATCATTCTTATAGCTCGTATCAGAACCATTTTAATCTTTTCAGTAACATCTTATTGAAAGCTTGGATCTCAAGGGAAGAACTAATAATGGCATTACAAATGCTAAAAGTAGTTGCAATAGCACTTCTTTTAATTGATACACATCCAAGATCTGTGCTGGTTCTTGTAATTGTGTCAGTGTACTGCAGGCTGTGGCTCAGCTGCTTATCTGCTACTTGCCCCAAATCATTTTCTTCTAAACTTTTCAGAACTTAGCGTTCCATTACCCCACTACAACAAACGTTCATGTGACTTGTAACACACAGATCAGCATTTAAACAACACTGTATTTGTTTCCAGGTGAGAAAGAGCAATTGTAGATGTCTGGCGTCCTTCAGACATTGAAGAACTGAACAAAGAGAATTTTTGAGAGGTTGAGAGAGAGGGGAAGGAGTATTAACAAATTAGCTACGTTTACCTGGAAATAGGTGATTACCTTGTGTAGTAATTTTGATGTTCTTTGTGTGCCTGGGCATTTATAATAGTATGCATAATTCTATTTGTGCATGTGCTTACACATCTCTGTCTATTTCAGATTTAGTCAGCCTTACTGTACTTATCACAGGGATCATATGCAACTCTGATCAGGATGATAAGCAGGAGAGATGACGTGCCTCCCACCTCCCCCAGCTAAACTCAGCTAACAGAGGCGCTTCCTCTATGCAACGCCCACTCTGAAGAAGGTCTGTAGCAAAACAGGATGTCTACCAAAAACCCATAAATGAAGGCATGGTGAATTGGAAGCCAAAAAGATTTTTTTTTTTCCTTTGATCAATTTCTGAGACATTCTGATTATTTTCCTACTTAATTCAGAAAAGCTATGCTGTAAGCAAATCTAATCATAGGAAGGAGTTTGCTATAGGAGTGCTGCTTGGTTGTGTGACATCTGGGAGTGGAAGGATGCTTTTGACCATAGAGTCCAGCTCCTGCTTCTGTAGTTATCAGATCATACAATACCTTCAATGAAACAATCCTGCTGATTGAAACATCACAGTCCTTCCTAAGTATAGACTTCTTCTCAGTCCCATTCAAGACCACTCCAGAGCCCCTGCTGACTAGAAACCACACTCATTCCATAGCCTGCTTAAGCTCACTTGGCTTTTTGCCAGCGCTACGCTCAGAGTTTCCTCTATCCTGTTGTGAATCTCTCTTTCCTCCAGCTGCTTCTGAAAGTTCATAGAGGTGGCATTCCCTCCTCCTCCCCCGCAATAAGTCAACCATGCCCTTTCAAGACAGGACATTCTCACAGCCTCCTCTTACCCCAGAGCTCAGTTCTGTACCTGCACTGGGGAAGCCATGGAAACATTTTCCTCTTAATTTTGAATTCTGCAAATAACTGCTTTAGGGTAAGCTCAGAAGTGCTCTTGGTTCATGCTCTCACTCTGTGTTTTCTGGACTCCAGGCTGAATCATGGGCTTCTTAGAGCAGCATGCTGTCTGCAGAGGTGCTGACCTTTCTTGCAGCATGAAGCTAGTGGCAAACATTGCCACAAGTTGGAAGCATCTCCCAAATACGCCATGAGTACACTGGGTCAGGATTCTTCATATTCAACTTTTGTTTGCTGGAATATCTTCCAATGGAAAGCTCATTAGGAAAGAAATCACAGAATGGAATTCCTATTTAAAAAGAAAGACAGAGTCCCATATAGCCCTGTGGAGAGACTATTCGATATTGCAGAAGAAAAGTTTCAAATTCCAACACAGTCCCTTTCAGTATATTGTGGCAATGACCGGGTCCTAAGTTTTCTACATCCCAGATGAGTGTTTGGCCAGAAACATGTTGGCTATTCTTTCAATTTCTGTCTTTCGGGGTTTTCTTTTGCAGCAAAGAAAATACTTATTGCAAGGAAGTACAGATGCCAAGATTCTCTTGCTGCAGGTGGGCAGCTTGCTTATCTATCTGGAATGGTGGCTTTTTCTGTATGCATGTGTTTGAACATGTAAGAGAGAAAATTATGACAGGTCTTGGTTTCTTTCAGATATGAAATGGAATAATTTATTAAAAAAAAAAAAAAAAAAAAAGTTTGTGCTAGAACACCCTTTTCTTTCCCAGCTTGTGTACTGACCTCAAACCATTTCACAATGGCTCAAGGCAACTTCAGGTGGTTTGAAGGAAGACTCCCCTAGAACTTTTGTGACACCAGCAGCCCAAGGAAACTTTCCTCTAGTGAAGAAAAAGGGGAGGTTTCCATCAGGAAACGGCAGAAAATCAGTGAGTCCCTCAAGTGAAGAAAGACCTATCATTAAAGGCAGATAGTGGTTATGGTGTAGATGCTTTCAGCAGGTAAATACTGCTCATGAGAGGAAAAAAAAAAAGCATTGAAGCCTTGAAGATGCAGAAATTATGTCTGCTCCAGGAGACCCATGAGCTGCAACATCTGGAGACTGAGAAGGTTTTCAGAGAAGAGCTTCAATGCTGTCTCTGGTCAGAAAGAGCAGTCAGGCACTGGCACAGGCTGCCCAGGGAAGTGGAGCCACCAAGCCCGCAGACATTTAAGGAAAGGGCAGATGTATTGTTGTAGTGGGCAATGCTGGTGGCAGGTGGATGATTGGAGTAGACCATCTTGGAAGTCTTTTCCAGCCTTAATATTCTATGATTCTATCACTACATGTTTCTCTAAGCATCTGTTTTCAGTTTCCATCAGAAACAGCACACAGGGAAACATGAATGCATCTGCCAGCTTGTGTTTGTCCTGGCAGGAGCGTGGAGCTGAAGCTGCTGGTACAACTACTGAAAAAAACTCTTCTAACAATTGTTCTGATTTAGATACTGTCTGGAATGGGGCGAAATGTGCAGCAGACTGGCCTTCACCTGTGCATTATTGCTGTGCTGCTTCTTGGTGAAGGACAAGGGAGAGGTAAGGGGAGATTCTGAATAGGTCCACTGTGGGAGGTGTGTATACATGCTCTCATTTTTATGTGAAGACTCTAAGGAATGGAACATAAGATCTCATGGTTGCCCTTTTCTGGTTCCTGAGCAGTGGTACAGCTGGCTGGCAGTGCCAGACCTGGGAAGCCACGCTCATAGCAGACAAGCTGAGCAGCAGAAAGCACAGCCACTGCACAGTCTGCCCTAAGGTCTTACACTCGTCTCACACAGGGAAGTGCAGTACCAGAGAGGAAGAGTGTATTGTGAGGAAGGCATCACTAAAGGAAAGGCTAGCAAGTAGTGCATTTTAGATCTCGTTAGGTGATAACATGAATGCAGCTCCTGTCTGCTTCTTCTGCAGATTTCCCTGGCAGCCTGAGCTGCCTGAATAACTACGTGACTACTGTGAGCTGTACGTGGGCACCTGAGGAGCCCGTGGGTGATGGACCTTTCCACCTGCATTTCACAAAGTAAGAGCTGCAAGCTGAGAGCTGCCTGTGGCTCTCCTGGCCCTGGCACGGGAAGGGCAGCACACAGAGGCAGAGACAGGTCATGGCTGGGGGCTTTCCTTGCTTTGGACATTGCCAGTTCAGTCACCCAGCTGCTCTCTTCTCAGTCTTCCACAGCGTCAAGAAGTGCAGCAGAGCTCTTGCAGCTGTGTGGCATCCTGCAGACTCAGGGTGGTCTTCTGCTCCAGTATTATCTGCTAGTAAGGGCCGCTCAGTGCAGAAAGCCCTCCTGTTGTAGCCTTGACTCTGTGTCATTGGGAAACATGCAGGGCTTTAGTAGCAGGTTTATTATGTGAGTAATTCTACATCTAAGATGAGAAATCTGGTGAATAATTTGTGATGTGATAGGATAATAAGCATTGTGTATGCTAATTTGAGATTAGCCTTTTTAGATTATGTAATAAAGTTATCTTGACTACCAGTAATTAATAAACTGTTACATGAGCGTAAGCTGCTCTGACATTTGATGCCTCACATGAAGTCAAAAATAGCGTAACTCTTAATGATACAGCATTTTAAAGCTGTAAAGCACTTAATCACATGACTTAAAAGAAACCTTCAGCCTTTCCATTTTTTTTAGCCTCTGGTCAAAGGGCCAAAATGCCAGCTGCCAGCTGACTGCCAGAGACAGCATGCAGGATCAGTACCACTGCACGATGCGCTTAGCAAGACAGATCTTGGAAACAGATGGTTACAGAGTCTCTCTCCAAGGCAACTTCTATGGAAGCAATCACACATATGTTACCTTCCAGGAGTACAGTCCCCGCCAGCACAGTAAGTGCAAACCAGGGCAGCTGTGGGCCGAGGCTCTGTCTGGAATCTTTGGGAAGGATCTGATATACTTCCTGATTAAAAGGGTGTCTCAAAACAGGTGAAAGTAATGGCAACAAGCCAGACTGTATAGCCCTGCAGAGTACATTATCTGGGCTTTAGCAGTAGGGATGAAGTCCCAGTGTCTCTCCATTTTGACTTTTTCTGGAGTTCAGAGAGTGTTTGCTCTTGAATACATTTTGGTTGTATTTCTTGTCTGCATCCTGTTTGCCTGTGCTATGGATAATGTACCACTCGATTGTTATCATGGTAGCTGTTTGCTGTTTTGCCACAAATAAATGAAGTCACAAAGAATCTAAGTTGTGGATCTAATTCTAGATCCCATGGCACAGTACTTCAGACAGATGGCATAGAGCTTGAAATCTCAAAGCCTCTGTATACCAGTGCCACACTGGAAGAGATGGTGACATCTTGAGTGGCTCTTTGCTTGCAGGAATATCCCCAGGGGATGAGACAGCATCCCTTTATGCCAGTTCCCTACCTGTTTTGACCTACTCCAAAAGCTAATTCAGTCTACTGTTGCATTTAGTATCACTAGAAGCAGCTTGATCTTCCAAGACTTTGATCAGCCTAGGAACATGCATCTCCTTCTGCGGTGCTTCAGTCCCAAATATTGTGGAAAACCTCTCTCTCTATTTGCAGTAAAACTTGATCCACCTTTGAACATCCAGAGCAATGTTACTGCCAGCAAGTGTCAGATATGGTGGACTGTGCCTTCCTACCTTGATGAAATTCTCCAGTACCAGTTGCAGTACAAGGAGTACAGCTCGTCATGGGAGGTAACTGGATGGGCAACACACTGATACAGTGCAATGGCCTTGCCACTCAGCTCAGAGCCTTCTGGCAGCTGATTACTTTAAGATAGCCTTTCTGGTTTGCCACACAAAGATAAAGTGGTTTTATATAAAACACTGTGGAGATCAATAAATCTTCTTAATCCTGCATTCAGATATCAGTTGTCATCATGGAGGCCTTCTTGCATCCAGGAACGGACAGTTGGGGAAAAAAGTAGTTATTAAAATATTCTCCCTTTGCCTCGTTAATAGAAACCTTTGTAATAACTTGCAGACTGCACAGAACAAGACACCACCCAGTTCACTACCACAGATAGAAATTGAAGGCACAGAATTTCACAGTGGCATCTCTTATGTTGCAAGAGTTCGCTGCAAAGTTTCTGAAATTGAGGATTCATACCACAGTCAGTGGAGCGACTGGAGCCAGACAACAGTATTTCAAAGAGAAGGTAAAAAGAATGTTGTTTTTGCCTTAATTTCAAGGGTTGCTGTTGTTCTTTTGTTGTTGGGTTGTTGCACTGATTGTTTATTTGGAGATCTACCTTAAAATCTAGGCTTTTTATCTTTTTTTTTTTTTTTTTTTTTTTTTTGTGCATGTTCTTTTTATAGATGCATCCAAACTGTCTGAAAACCTCTTTGATACCAGAACATTCGAGTTCTTGATCATTCCTCTGAGTTTTGGCACCCTACTGTATTTATTTTGGAACTGCAAGCTTTCTTCAAGGTACATTATGATACTTCATTAAGTTCTCCTTGATTTGCATAGCCCAAAGAGAAATTAAGCGTTTACATCTGTTTTGCTTTCTACTTTTGCTGCACAATCAGATTCTAACATGCTCAAAAGCTCTTTTGACAATCTCAGGACATGATGTAATCCTTGACTAATGACAATTAATCACCCCCTACTTAATAATTAAGGAGACCAAAACACCTTGGCATACAAGCTGGTCTCTTGGACTTAAGAAGATTTAAACCCATGGATACTTTGAGTTGTTTCATGTAGGTAAATCAGAAATGCAAGCATACAGCAGTCCTGAAGGATGGTTAAAGTGGTACAGAAGTTAAGCTGTTAGTGACATACCTACTAGTAGTCAATACGTATGAATCAACAGAATAATCAAAAATGTCAATATAGGCAAACTATAGAAATTAGTGCATGTAAAACCTTGGCTCAACCATACTCTTCTCTCTTTTATGCTGGTAACACAAAAACCTTTTCTGCCTTGACGTACACCTATTATGCTCCATATACATGTTGTTGTCAGAGAAACAGAATACTTGTCCATATGATAAAATATTTCTATGAGATAGACTAATAAATGGGCAATGATATATGGCAGAACTTTCCCTAAATCTGGTGAAACTAGCTCACTAAAATACTGCTTGAAGAGGTAGTTTAGATCAAACAATGCTAAACAAATGCATAAGTAGCTCAGTGCATATAATGAGTAATAAACTAGTACTGATTTTGCAATATACAGCGTTCCTCAGAAACTTTTGAGAAGACTGGACTAGAAAAATTGAATGCATGTGCAAGAGACAAACAAAGGATGTCAGGAAACACATAAAATGAGCTTCTACTGCAGTCCTTCCAGCAGTAGTGTTGGGTTTTCATCTCATCAGTGTGCTATACCATCAAGACACTGCAGAACAATTTGATTTTAAAGTGTTGTTTTCTCACCTCAGGCCAAAAGTCCTCTCCTGCCTTAATATTCCCACACCAGCTGCTTTCTTTCAGCCACTCTATAATTTGCACAATGGGAATTTTAAGGTAAGATGTTCCATTGACTTCTTATGTTCTTCAGTTAAGGGGAGGGTTGATTTGTTTCTGGGACCAATTGTTCTACCTCCTGAGCAGTGCTACCAACACATGGCTTTGGTCTTCCTGGGAGTCCATGGTTTCCTAGTTTTCTTTCTCCAAATACTAACTACACCATCAGAACAGCTTCTGCCTCTGTAGAAATAAAATCCCTCCAGTAAATCATTCCTCATCCATCTACCATCTATCCTTTTTTCGCATCCACAGAATCTTTTATATATTTATATATTACCAATAACTGGTGCCTTCAGCCTCCCCCTTGTTGAGCCAGACAACACTGGTATCCAAGTACATCATTCAAAGGTTGCTCTGGTTTAATAAATCAAGTTTGCCTCTCACAGGGAAGCAAGTATTTTCTCTGTTAGCTTGAAACAGAGAGATGGAGGAAGCTGCAGTCTTTCCCAACCAGGCAGCTTCTCCCTTGTAGAAAATTCACATTGCTGCATTCTTCCAGTAAGTTCCCCCTCCACTTTCAGATATCTAAGGTACGTTTGAATGGTCTTCATGTTGACCACTGTTGTTCCCTCCATACTGAGAGCCCTTCTGAAAACCAGCACTAAATCCAAGAGGAAAAAAGAAAAGGGGAAAAAAAAAAGAAAAAAAAAAAAAAAAGAAAAAACAGGGCAGATCTGTTTAACGAAAGCAGCAAAAGTCAAAAAGCATCAGTAGTGTATTTACCTTCTCTCATCTTCCATCTTCTGATATACATACTGAATATGAAAGATGCCTGATGACTTTGCAAAGCCAAAGGAATAGAAGAAGCATGTAGCATGTTATGGAGATGAGATCTCAAAAATTTATTATGAAATCTTCCCTCAGGAAAATTGAATGCTATCACTACTCCATAACTTACATTTCACCTATTAGATTTGCAATAAACCTCTGGATTATTGTGCCAAAGACATGTAGATGGAACAGTTAGTTTGAAAATTCCACCTCTGAGCAAATTGTCCTGAACTTACTGATCCTTTCACTAGGACTGGGTCGGACCCAATGAGGCTTGTAGCCAACTCAAAAGAGAAGAGGCAAGCAACTCAAACAAAGTGACTGCAGATGAAGTTTCTGAGCTAAGCATCCAAGAACTGATTTCCCAGATTTCCTTGAGACCTATGGAAAGCACAAATTTGGCTGCTGAAGAAGAGATGATTGCCTTTGCCTCTGGTCCAAGCCAGCAGCATGTCCCCAGCAGATGTGTAAGAGGAGAAGAGATAGAAGTCAGGCCAGCAATGCTGGTAACCCAAAACCAGGCTAATGATACAACTGACCTGAAAATCTCTGAAAAAATTAAAGCCAACCTTGAGAGCTCTAGTGTGGGAAGGAGTTATCCCTCCCACTTACAGCCTGGAAAGAGTGACTGTATTATGCTTCAGGAATCTTTGGAGGTGGCAAGTGTGTCATTCAGCAGTAGCGACTACTGCACCTTGTGTGATAGTGATACCACTGAAGGTTTGATTCCTGCTGAACTATTGAAGCTCTCTGATGGAAATGGCCTGGCCAAATGTGAGAATGATCAGAATGACCTTCCCTGAGGAATGCTGCCCACAAAGATATCTGTGTTGCCCTCACATCTCCCAGTAGTGTCTTCACAAATGGCTTAAGTGGTGACTGTGCAGACAATTACAATTGTGTAACTACATCCCTTTTTAGACCAAGATTTTGGTCTGGCTTGATGCAGTGTTTCCAAATTTCAGACCTTCAGAATGAGAAGAATGCTTCCTAATATTGTCAAATCATATGTATCTTAAATCTCTCATATCTACACAGCCCTTGCATATGAACACATCTGCACAGAAACTGAACCAGTTTGATGAGGTCTTGTTTGCTTTAAGAAGGTATTCTAAACTCTTATTACTAGCAAAAGTGTAATGTGAAGAACTATAGTCAGATACAAACATAAGGAGCAGTAGGTCAGGCTATGGAGAGAATCTAAAACTTAAGATAAAGAAGCAAAAGCAAATAGAGAGATTGAATGTGGTGAGAAATGACAAAAATGAAAAGCCAAGAAAGATGCTGCCTTTGTCCATCAAGCAAGGACAGAAGACTACAGGAACTGAGTATGGAGATGATGGTTAAAGGGCTGAAATGATATTGCATCATCAGATGAAACACTTATAACAATTTTGGCAGCTTCTGCTTTGATGCAGCCACTTAAAAACAAAACAAACAAAATGCAACAACAAAAGGAAAAGTGTAGAGAGGAAAAGTGCCACAGAAAAAGTTGCTTGTTGTAGCTAGATTAAAAAAAAATCTGATCTCACTTATGTCTTTGGAAAAGCTGAAGTCTAATTTTTAGTTAATGAATGAATATCCACATTTTATTTCTAGAGAAACAGCATATAAAAACCCAATTTACTGCTTTTTCACTTTTTTCACTTTTTTTCTTTTTTTGGCCATGTTTGAGACTTGTACTAGGTTAAGCTGCATTTTTCACAGCTTCTCCCAGAATTTCTGAACTGCTCCAAGTCCAATTTTTCCAGGAAAGTGTGATATACACCATGCCAGTGGGAGACAGAGAATTTTCATTTAGTATGGAGGCGTAACATGGGCTCTGGTCGAGCTTTTCATTTCCTGGGACTGCTGAGTGCATGCTATGACTATCACCAGCACCAGAACAAAGCCACCAGTCTTTTCCCCTTTCTTTCCTTAGTGTTGAGTTTTGGCAGAGGAAACAATGTCAGAAGGTATTTGGATGATGTTTGTACGCTACTAAGGAACTGAAAATATTTTATGACAAAGGATGTGTTTTATTTTGTAGATTTTTTTTCCTTACCTGCTAAGCTGAATAAAGTAAAAGATCTAACACTGTGATTATTCAGAAGTAAATAAAGAAATTAATTCAAAAACGGTTTTTCAGAAGTTGGTGTTTGAGAGCTTTGGAAATAGCTTTAAGGCCAAAAATAAAAATAACCCAACAACCCAAGTCATGAAAATACCGATTATACAAATCATTAGTAAAAGTTGACATGAAAACATCAGAGAAAAAGGAAAGAACTAAATACCATCCTTATTTTACAGACCAAATCAGAGCCAGTGCTGCTGTACCACCACCAAGAGAAAAAGAGATAAGAAGGATCCTGAGTAAAGACATGTTTTACAGCTAGTAAAGCCCAGGGGGACTTGCATGGTGAGCTATCCCATGATGCCTAACATGTGGCCATGAGTATAGTTCTGCTGGCTGTCCACCCAGTATATCTCTGGTTCACAGTGTCACCTCTGGTTCATTGGTGTTCACAGTGATGAGTGTCAGATACTGTATCTCCATCAGATGTTTTCCTATGTTGTTATCTGCGTACTCATTTCAGGAAAGAGAGATGAGAGATCAGATTGTACGTTTCTCAAGAGCATAGGTGTCTAAAAGAGCAGCAAACGAATCACAAGCATTAAGATGTGACCTGTCGTACTCAGGATAAATTCTCTTCACAGTATGGTTTCTGATACATTAAAGGACAATTAAACTGTCAAATACTGGAGTCTGATAGGTGAAACACACACACAAAAAAGTTGAAGCTGCAGGGCATAAGATAATTTATCTGCAAACTCTTACTGGAAAGAGCTGTGGAAGCAATCTTTTTCTCCTATGGCAGCCACTAGTCAATGGCCAAATAAAGCCATAAATCTTCCCCTGGTTAAGTAAGCAGATGGGATGAAAGTAATTCCAGAGACAAGAGAAACAGTTTGCTCCTTTTAGTCCTTTTGTTAAATCTGATCAGTGTGTTAAGAAGGAGGACAGAGAATGTTGGTTACACTCAGCACACCACAATCTTACAGTTTACCCAGAGCACTGTCAAGTCTAGACCCGCAGCTCTGTCATTTCATCTTCCCTGTATTGCTGTCCTCCTGTGAGTCATAAATCTTGTGCTACAGAAATCTTTAACATCACAGATCTTTCCAGACCACTATAGCCCCTCAAGTCACCAAGCACCCTTCAGCAGAAGGTATGGTCCTTCACAGAGTCACCCACATTTTCACTCATGCATACATTCTTCTAGCTAATAAAATCACCAAGAATTAAAAATAGTCATTTTAGTGGTAATTTAATCTAATCTACAGATCTGATCCTGGTAGAGGCACTGCTGCAATTCTGAAGAGAAAATCATTAATCAAGCATGGACATCTAAATGGTTTTAAAGTGAGAACTGCAATGTTTGATGTGGCACATATTCATGTAGTGGTGGTGGTAACTGGAAAAGAGGAGGTCTTCTTGTTATGCTAGAATGTGGATGCATGAAGCAGGAGAGGAGGGAAGGCTGCTTTTTTGTTTTTAACAACTTGCAAACCAGGGATCAAGTTGTAACATAAAACTGCAGACGTTATGTGAAGGGCTGCCTGCACTGGGGTTTGCTGGCTTGAACCACTTCATCCTGGGCCAGCCTTGCCTCTTGCTGCTCCCACTGCTCTTGACCAATGCCTTTTTAGCAGCACCCACTCCAATCTGCCATTGCCCTCTGCTGGAAGAGTCCTGTTTTCACAGACTTCCAAGGTGTCCAGTAAGATTTTACACTCATTTCTAAAATGTTTTTTCCTGGTCTACCCTAATCTACTAAGTGAGTCCTATAATTAGAATCATAGAATAGTTTGGTTGAAAGGGACTTTTAAAGATTATTTCCAACCTTCTCTGCCATGGGCTGGGCACATCTTCCACACGATTAAGTTGCTAGAACTGGAGTAGGCCTTTCCTAAGTTCCACCTAAAGTTAGAGGTCGTGTTGCAGGCAAAGGTGAGCAGCCGGCACTGCTGAGGACTACAACTGTACTTGTATATGATGCTGTAAAATTACAAAGATGTTTCCTGAGTGGGGCTGTTGAGCTCATATAGTCTTCCAGAGTACAAAGATATTTGTAACTTGGTTAGGCAAAAGCATAAGATCTTCACATCAAGGAAGGCTAGACATTGTATTTATTTAGTTATTTAGTAAATACAATGGTATCATGAAAATAAAAGAATTATAGAAACAGTGAATCATAGAATGTCTGGGGTTGGAAGAGATCTTACAGATCATCTAGTTCCAACCCCTGCTGTGGGCTGGTTGTCACCCACCAGCCCAGACAGCCCAGGCTCCCCCATGGCCTTGAGCGCCTCCAGGGATGGGGCATACAGTTTCTCTGGGCAGCAGTTCCAGTGCCTAACCACCCTCTGAGCACAAAATGTCCTCCTAATATCTAATCTAAATCAGCCTTCTTTCAGTTTAAAACCATTTCCCTTGTCCTATCACTGTCTGCCTCCGTAAAAAGTCATTATCTCCCCTCGTTATTAGTTCCCTTTAGGTACTGAGAGGCCACAATGAGATCTCTCCGGAGCCTTCTCTTCTCCAGGCTGAACACCCCCAGCTCCCTCAGCCTTGCTTTGTAGGACCAGACTTTTGGGCTTCATTAATATTGCAAAATGCTTTCTGAAGTAGTTTACCAGTGGGACGCTGCAGGATTGCTGCCTTGCCCAACCACCCCAGCCTTATTTGAAGTTAATTATACATCAACGTTGAAGATTCTGATGCAGCTCACCAAACAACGTGGCCCTTCCCTGCATGACCCTTTCGAGCATTTCCTTAAAATTCAATAATCTCCTGATGAATTAAAATTGCTCTTACAAGGCGTCATACCACCTTGTAAGCATACCTGAACAACAACCCCATATACCTTCAGCATTTGTGATGTGAGTCAGCGCTTCGGGCTGGATCCGGCCAACTCCTGTGAGCAAATACACTTTGTGTGCTTGAGAACACAGGTTGGGAAGCAAATCTGGGGACGTGTTTCCTACAAACTTACCTGAAAGAATAAATCCTCATTACTTATACCATACAACAGTTAAAGATATTGATGAGTACTTTCTGAGTGCATTTATGATGCGGGATAACAATTATTTAGTTCTGAGATCTCCAATGAAAGACTTCTAACAAAAACTTTATGTCGGATTCAGTGTATTAGACATAAGGAGCGCCAGACACTGGCCTTTTATTATTATTATTATTGAAAAGACTGATTTTTAAGAATGCCTACGGGAAATTTCATCTGTTACACGCTCGGGTCCGTGGCTGGCACAAGGACTTGACAGCCTCAGCGGAAGTTCACGGGATGAGGAACCAAGCGCTACCGGGACATCAGGCGGCACCGCACGGCGTGGCGTAGGAACCACCCGGCCTCCGAACGTCACCACACCGCTCCCACAGCGCCTCTACGTCAGAGAGAAAACCCGGATGTGAGCGCAAGACGGAAGTTGGAAAGGCCGCGCGCCCCACCGCCCTCATCCCAACCGGAAGCGAAGCCGGCAGCATTCCCACAACAGTTGCGCATGCTCACACTGAACGTGCGCTGAGGCTGATGGGAGGCGCTCCGTGCGGGCTTAAGCGTGAGTGGCAGGTAGAGAGACCTGTGAATTTGCGGGTTGGAAGGAAGTCCCGCCTACAGCGGTGGGGGGGGGGGCATTGTTGTGGGTTACGTCACGGACGGAGGATGCGAGAGCCCCATTGGCTCGGGCCGGGTGGCCGTGCGCTGGGCTCTTAAAGGGCGACTGGAGCGCGGGCCGCGCCGGCCGG